GACAAATCCACACTGCTCAATTATCCACATTGTTTATTTGTTCGGTGCTATAACTTTCTCAAACATTGCTTTTTTTAAAAGTCTTTCATTTTAGCTGTCAGACTGGACAACACTTTCCTTATGGTATCAGCGCTGTTTCATACGAGCAGGTCACTGCCGGTCGAAGATCGGATTTCTGAAGCTTTAGGCGACGCCGCCGTGTCTATCACGATCACCGTATTGACGGACATCCTAAGTTTCGGGGTTGGCTATTTTACAGACTTCCCCGCGGTGCAGTTGTTTTGCGTTTATACTTGCGTCGCCATGTTCATCACGTTCCTCTACCAACTGACGTTCTTGCTTGGATTGTTAGTATTGCATGCCAGAAACGAACAGCGAGCGATGCACAGCTTCCTTCCGTGTATCAAAACAATCCCCTGGAAAACAGCGGGTACGTTTACTTATACATTAATATCGAAGTCACGTGATCATGCTTTTAAACGAATACTTAACGTGGGGAAACTGCCTTCTACCGCTGCTTGGGACAGAGAAATTATTTTCTTATTAAACGAAATGAGTTTCCTCCATCAATGATCACCCATATTAAACTAGACAACTTTTCCGGGGTTAAGTGTGTCAGCCCAAGCAGCCATCGTTGAGATCAGCGAGAGTCTATTCAGTTGGTTTCTGTCTGTAATGTTGCACTGCTTTGGCGATTCCTCCTCCTCCGCGTGAAGTGAACGAGGTAAAGAAAATAATGATTTGAGGGCAAACACGTTCGTTACTAAGCCTTTTTCCATTATATCCTGGCAATTAAAAAGACAGCAGGTGCTTAATGCTGAAATTAAACCGTTTGCCTTTTGAACTGACAATATCCTACGAGGACAGTGTCCCGTCAACTCAGACCCCTGTGGTTGAAATGCATAATAGATTGTGGAATTTTCTATGAGAAATCGAACAGTATATTTTTCAGTCAACTAACAACAGCAACTCAGGCAATAAATTGATAAGTAAAGTTGGGTATTTAGTCGTGTTCTGTCGCTGATGACAAAAAACAATCGTAAACACTGATCCCACAATCTGGGGTCAGTTAACACAACGGTAGCCGGATTTACATAATGAAGGAACATGCTTCCGTCTATGTAAGAAGCACAGGCCACAGCTGGAAAGAATTTCAGCACAAATGCAAGAAAAAATCACAAGTATTATGCTATATACTGTAAATGCTAATAAATAAATAATTTTTGTTAAAAGTTTGTTTACGGCGTGATGCGGCGCATCGAATTTATTATATGCATATTCACCAACGTTTCTTGTTCGACCCTGCTTGAGGGCGAGACATAGTATGCAACAGATAAGTCTCTACGTCTGGTTTTGTATCAGTCCCCATATTCTCTCCGGATGGTCCTGTCAAACCTCGACTAACGCCGGTCCCTGAATTCTTCAGACAGCATTCTCAGGGCGGTCGTATCCAAGATGTTTCGATTCTTTATTCGATGGAACCGTCTCACTTTCAGGATATTCCGCGTGCAGCGAGGCTGAAGAGTGTCCACCATATTATGGTGCTTTAAAAGGGTTGATGTTTTAAGGCTGCACATCATAATTGAGAAGAAGGCGGCTTTCAGTAGGACGATTTTTGTTGCTGTCTGGATAGATCGGTCTTTGTACACTTTAGAAAGTAGCCCGAAGTTCACAGATGCCAGCCTTAAGCGCCCCTGTACTTCCATATCGCAGCTTCCATCTATCGCTTACAAGTACAGAGCCGAGGCACTCCAAGTTTTCGACCTCCTACATGGTCGTTCTACTCCAATAAATCTTGTGGAAATCAGTCGAGTCGGATGCTCCTAAGATCTTCCTTTTGATAGGGTTAGCTTCTAGGCCTGCTCGAGGCAAACATGCATACTTTTCCAGTTAGTACTAGCAAACATTGGCGGAGTTGCTCAGTACTACGAGCTCGTCAGAAACTCGAGATCTGTTATGAGTGCTGGTAGGCGCATTCAGATGAGTCGTCATGTGATAGTAAATCTCTCGCTACTTTTGAGGACTATGCTCCTGCGCATCAGATAATCCACCACCATGCTGAATGACAGATGTAAAAGTACTTCTCCTTGGTGCAATCCACTGTTCGTGTTGAATCAGTCCAAAACGACCCTTTTGCTCTGACAGCGCCTTTAGTACCTTCATGCAGTCCTTTCAGTAGAACGATGATGATTTGTGGTACTCCATATTGTCACAGTATGCACCACAAGGACTGGCAGCGTACCGAATTGAAAGCTGCTCGGAAGATGAAGAATGCTACATGCTAGGGTAGTTGTAAGCTGCTTCCCTGTTCGATTATCTTCGTTAGTACGGTGATATTATACCTGCACGAGAGTACGGTTCCAAATTCTGTTTGATTTGATCGAAGCGAATCTTCAACTACATTCTTGAGTCTTTGGAGGAGGATTCACGCGAATACCTTTTTCAGCACAGGCAGAAGCGTGATTCCGCGGTAGTTGGCGCAATCAGTACGATTAGCACGTTTGAGTAGTTGAATGATCATGCCCTGCTTCCAATTCTCAAGTATTTTCGACTTCTGCCAGAAGCTGTCAAAAGCCAGATGGGTCCAGTTTAGTAGAGCTTCGCCTTGGCACTTCAGTCGTGTCCGCAGAATTTCGAACTTCCACAGAGACGTATGGCATCTCGGATTTCATTTCTCGATGGAACGAAGTAGTCAGTGTCCGGTCTTCAAAATCTATTTCCAGGTCATCCACTGGGAATCCTGTCGGTAAATCTGTAAGGGGCTCGTTGGACCTGCTGCGAATCAGAAAGGTTAGGGGCTTACATTTGCCGAAATCGATGACGTTGTTGACTCGTCTGTGCAGCATCTTTTAGTCCTTCTTCAGAGTCCCCTGTTCTATCAGTGTCACTTGTCACAGTGGTGACTCGTGTTGACTGATTGCTTTCACGAGATGCCGATACTCTCTTTTTCATCTGTTTAGGGTTCTGTAAGAATTCTTGCTTCGGTGCATTTCTTCGCTTTGGCGAAGAGTGAGGGTCTCTGCCCAGTTTCTTTCGAATGCTTCGTCTTTTGCTTAGGCCAAGTATATTTGCTGTGGCACAAACGATGTCCTCTTTGAGCTGTTGGTACAGTAAATCTCAGTCCTGATAGGTCATGTCCCTTACAGCAGCGAATCTGCTGTCGATCTCGTCTTGGAACGCTGCAGAATTTTCTGGACGGTGGTTTAAACTTGGAGTGTCTAATTGGGGGGGGGTTCTCTCCATTCTGTGTTTTCTTCGAGGCGTAGCCAGCTGGAGGTGGAGCTTTGCGACAATCATGAAGTGGCCCGAGCCAATGTCAGCTCCGCGTCGTGCTCGGGTACCGTGAAAGGCGCTTCGCCACTTCCTGCTGACCAATATGTGCTCTATCTGGCTTCTGAAGCGGTCATTTGGTGTTGTCCTTGTCAACTGATGGATTTGACGGTGAGGAAACAACATACCGCCGAAAACGAGGCCATGCGTTGTTCAAGCCAACCGACCGTTGGTCTAACAGCCGCCGACCGTTGTCACCCAGCGTCCCGCAGCCATGTTGGCCCATCTCCTGATGCCAGATGGAATTGTCCCCGCCGACCTGCGCGTTCATGTCACTGGCGACTATCGATGATTGATGGAGTGGAAGAGAACCGAGAACTTCATGTAAACACACGTCGAATTCGTCCTTCCTCTGATCGTCCGCAATATTGGTGTGGGGAAGGAGGGGGGTACACGACCATAACGTTGACCTTAATGCGCTTTGTTGCAAGACGGCAAACAGTGGTGTAGCCGACGACGGAGACCAAGTCGTTTTCCTGAATCGCGTCTGGAATCTTGGTTCCCAGACCAGTGAAGCTGCTACTCGTTTTCCTGGTGATTTTCTCCGTGGTCGGGGATGTGAGTTTCTCTGATTGCAAGGAAGCAGAGGTGGCAGCCTCAGCTTACGGATGATGTCATCCAGTTTGCCATCTCTGTTTAACGTTCGCACGTTCCAACAGGCGATACGGATTTTCTCCTTGTTGACGTTAATCTGCTGTAGGCCAGATTTCTTTGTGTCAAACGCTCGAGTCCGTGGACTTCCACCACTCATCGCACAGGTGTCGCGTAACCGGGTCACGTAGTGGAGCGAAAGCACTACCCAACCGCCCGCGGCGGAGTACAACTGAACAATGCTGATGCGGTCTCGAATCTGGCTTTGCCAGTGCTCAAATTCCCTGAAACCATGGCCTGCTTAAACAATGTCTTTGGAAGCTGACAGGAAGAAAACTGGTCCATATTGTTGTGTTAAGATATTACGATTGATTTTCGATACACCTTCCGAACAGAACTTCGCGAATGCAACATGTGCACACATTCATAAAACGAAATAACGTGCACCTGCCTTCAGCTGTTCACTTTACTCCCGCCGAATCTATTTGATGACCATGCAAACCCATCAATATTTTTTGTCGATTCATCATCATTAATGACTGCTTGGCTTCACCATTCCATTCAGTTATGCGCTGTTTCGACGGGGGGACCACCATGATGAAACCGCTTTCGTTTATTGGCTGATTGCTCCCTTTACATCAGTAGTACTTACGAATAGCGTACAAGTTGCTCCTTGCCTGTAAATTGCACTTCTCCGCCTCAGAAATATGTCAACAGAGGAGTACTGACTACTAAACATTCAATGCTACTTCCGTTTTAATAAGAGGAAAGGGCTTTCTAATGAAACGCACGTTGGCACAATAAGGCAGAAAAAGATTACCCATAATTTTACCTTATTACAAAACTTAATTCATTACGCCCACTGCCATGGGCTACTTTACGACTTGATCGTTTCAAAAACCAGTTTCTCATTTCGTTTCTCATTCAGACCTTCCTTTATCACAGTGATTCCTGTAAGTCTAGAGTAAAATCATTCGATCTTCTTGGAGGTCAGCCGAGTGAACTTTTACCTTTTGGGCATAAATCGACCATAGCTGCTGTAAATCGATGGTTAGTAAACCGAATTGAGTAGATAATCCATTGCATTTTGATCCACCTGCTCTTCACGTCAGTTTGCTGTTTAAATTCTTCAGTGGAGATGTAGTCGTGAAAAAAATCCCAAGCATCCTTCACATTTCTCTTTTTAAAACAAGCAGCTGATGTTCCTTCCATTCGTCAATGATCATGATTCGTTGCCTTTAGCAACATAGACCATTAGATAAATTCATAAGCTGTCCATATTCGGTGACATTGTTGATTTATGTTTTTGCTTTCAGAAAACAGATCCGTCTTGCGGAAGTTGTTTTGCATCGGTTCAACTGCCGTCGTGCCACTACCAAAAGGAGCACAGGGATCGGCTTCTTTCATGGTTGCTGATAAGCAAGGCTCGAAGATCAGCAGGACGTTTCAAAAGACCATTGCCCCTATACTTGTCAACCCCTGGACGATAACTGTGATTCTTGTCCTGTACGCTGTGTATCTGGCGATGTCGATTTACGGCTGTTTCCTGGTCAAAGAAGGTCTTGAACCGGTGAACCTCCTGGTCAGAGATTCTTACGCCACAAAGTACTATCAGCAAGTGGACAAATATTTTAACGAGAAGGGCCAATTGGTGCAGATTTGTTTTCAACAGCCGGGTAAGCTGAGCGATCCGGAAAATAGAAGAGCCATCCTTGACATTGTAAAGAAATTTGCCAACAGCCCGCACGGCATGGGCGATGATGGTGTCGATTTCTGGCTGATGGAATTTGAAAGTTTCCTGCCGAGGTACAATCAGCGGTACGTGGAGGAACTAGACAACCAAAGCTTTTACGACAACCTCGAAGCTTTCCTCGGCTTCGAGGAGTTCGAACGCTACCGAGGCGATGTGATCTGGAACAATACCGCAGAAGAGAAAATTAGCGCTTTTCGACTGGCAGTTGGCGTTCAGAACTTTGCGTTGGCAGTCGAACAGACGAAAGCGGCGAACGAGTTTCGTGCCCTCGCGAGT